AGCCACATGCACCAAGATCAGTGGAAGCTGTGAGTACCTTTGGCCTGACATGTTTGCCATTTGCTAACATAACGCAGGGCCGACCAGGAATTCGGAAAGCTCCTTGAGATTCTTGAGAACAGCAACGAGATTGTTGTCATTGAGAACGCCGAGGAGTGGGAGGACGACGAGAAGCTGCCCACCATCACACCCGGCGAGATCTTCCGCATCCCAGGAAGCGTCGTCTCTTTCGTTGAGAGGCTCGACGACGAACTCACCCGCTCGCTGCAGCACATCGACCCACACACTTCCGAGTACATTGAACGGTTGACCGACGAGGCTCTGCTGTACGCTCAGCTGGTGCGCACCCTGGTATACGTTGAGAGCATGAAGAAGAACCCAAGCCTGGAACTTCCACAAGAGCCATTGAACCGCATTGTTATGCGGAGATTGGAACACGTCTACTTCAAGGTAAGAAACACGCCGTTTTCTGCTTTCTATGCTAACGTCCATAGCCCTCCCAAGTTATCACTATCCTCGAGAACAACGTCTGGAAGGCGATCCCGGAGAGCCTTGACTCCGAGATCACCCCCCGCGCCATCTCCAACGACACCGCCTCCCTCGTACAAACTCTTTGCACATACCTCTTCCAGAACAGTGAGGGCATCATCCGCGCTCGCGCCATGTTGTGCCAGATCTACTTCCTGTCTCTGCACGACCAGTACTACAAGGCTCGCGACATGATGCTCATGTCGCATTTGCAAGAGACCATTAGCAACTTTGACGTCAACACACAGATTCTCTTCAACCGCGCGCTGGTCCAAGTCGGTCTCTGCGCGTTCCGTGCCGGTCTCGTCTACGAGGCACAAACCTCGCTGCAGGAGATCTGCGGTAGCAACAGGCAGAAGGAGCTGCTTGCACAAGGTCTGCAGATGCAGCGATACTCCCAGATCTCGCCCGAGCAAGAGCGTCTCGAGCGTCAACGGCAACTTCCTTTCCACATGCACATCAACCTTGAGCTGCTAGAGTGCGTCTACCTGACCTGCTCCATGTTGCTTGAGATTCCTCTTCTCGCACAGCTTGGCTCCTCGCCCGACCTGAGGAAGCGAGTCATCAGCAAGACCTACCGCCGTCTCTTAGAGTACCATGAGCGCCAGATCTTCACTGGTCCTCCTGAGAACACGCGTGATCACGTCATGCAGGCGTCCAAGGCACTGTCTGCTGGTGAATGGAAGAAGGCAGCGGAGTTCATCAACTCGATCAAGATCTGGGAGCTCATGGCCGACTCGGAGAAGATTAAGGAGATGCTTTCCTCGCAAATCCAGGAAGAGGGTCTCCGGACATATCTCTTCACATACGCACCTTTCTACGACACGCTCTCCATCACCACACTGGCGGGTATGTTCGAGCTGTCGGAGCGCAAGGTCTCCGCAGTCGTCTCCAAGATGATTTCACACGAGGAGCTCGCTGCCGCTCTCGACCAAGTCAACTCCGCCATCATCTTCAGGAAGGGTGTTGAGCTGTCAAGACTACAGACCCTCGCGCTCAGCCTGTCAGACAAGGCATCCGGTCTCATCGAGTCGAACGAGAAGACACTGGAGCAACGCACACAAGGAACCGCCAACGCCTTTGAGAGGCAAGGTGGACGTGGCGGTCGCGGTGGCCGAGGAGGCGGCCGTGGTGGTGGTGGTCGCGGCGGAGGTGGACCACGGGGCGGAAGGAATCAACAGTTCACTGGCGGTGCTTTGGGACGTGCGATCCAGGCTTAGACGTAGATACCTCGTCTTCTAGGAGGCAACGTAGGGTCATGGGCGGCGAATACGGTTTTGTCGGACTACACCTTTGGTAGCTCCGTGGTAATGCGAATGCTTTTCAGCTAGATCATGAGAGCGAATGCAGGAATGAAAAGTACGCAAAAAGCACATCATGTTCGTGGCCGCGTAGTTTTGACTACCTTGGTGGTTGATGGATGTGTGAATAAAATGTATATGATCGCAATTCCGACAGTTTCCAACAGACTTTGATGTGACTTTGTGTAGCCATCCAATCTTCGAGTTCGTTGAAGTGCCTAAATATAAGGCGACGAAGTGGAAATTTGCCTTGGTACAGTTGTGCTCCATTGGGTGTGTTGAGTAGTGTGCAGAAACGCACGTCGATCAAAATGGCTTCGCATAGCGAATTAAATACTCTAGAGGGAGTAGAATGAGAGCGATAGATAATGTGATAAGGAGTCTTCCGTATCTTCTGCGGAAGTGTTCAAGAGCACATGAACGATATGTCAACTTACGGGCTTCACGTGCTGTATAGATCTTAGCACGTATAACTTAAGTTCAAAAGCAGCTAATGAATAACCCTACACGCTGCTTCTTGCGTCTCTGGATCAAGTAGATGCCGTAAAGGTAGGATCGTTGAGCAGCAACATTCGCCTGTCTCTTTGGGCGGTATATCTTGCGAGCAAGAATTGTCTAATCAACTAAAAAGAAAAAAGAGCTGGACATACCCAGACACTCGGATAGAGGATTCTACATGCGAGACGTCTGCGGGGGCAAAAAGAGATGGACGGGCGGGTGATCTACCGACTCTGTTAACAACTGTGCTCGAACTCGTTCAATTCACTGTCTTACCGAAACCCGGACCTTCCGCAATTGTTTTCAGGTCTTCTGCACTAGGTCTAGTGCGAAAGTTGATGCAAAGCGGACCTCGGAGGACGTCAGTACTTGTCTATTATGTAGTTTGTACAAGGTTATCTTACGCTCTACCACTGAGCCACACGCCCTGGAGTCTGGAAGACTGGTGTTGATGGAGATTTGTGGAATTACAGCGTACAGAATGTTGGGCGCAAGCGGGTATGAGCCCCTCACCTTACGATAGACCAACCAAGCGAAGAACAACTCCTCTTCTAACCGGTGGCCCAAAGGTGGGGCTGTTGGAATGTGGAATCCGAATGGTATCCGATTGTTGGCCGAACCATACGTTTGGATAGAGTCAATCTAGTGGATAGAGATCTTGAACGTTGAAAGATGACGCGATAGTAACCGTCTGAGGGAGGGGGGATGATATATTGCGAACATAAAAACTCAAGTAAATGAATTTGGAGATTTAAATTGCTTTGGATCTGTTAGCCTTCGCTCTGGTAAGGATGTAGACTACAACGCACCTTCCAACTTTCTTCCCCTTAAGACAACAGCCTAGACACACTGATAACCATATCATTGCGCGTAATTGCCATACTGCGAATTCCCTTGTCGTCGTCGTCGTCGTCGTTCCATACACGTGCCAGGGGAAACGACGGAGTTACCGGCCCGCCAAGACCCTGTCGATCCATCGCAGACACGCGACTTGAGAACACGAGACGAAACCACATGGCAGCCGCAGCCCTCCACATCGGTGAACCATGAAGCTACGAATAGCCTCTGCATGGCACACCCTCGCCGTTCTGCTTCTGCTGGGCGGAGCAGCCCAGGCTTCATTGGGTGACAGACTGCCCGATTTCAAGGACTGTGTTCAGGTACGTGTAGATGGAGTTGCGCTTTGGCTGGAGACATGAGCAAAGAGAATGCGCCTTCACCGACTTGAGACATAAAACTAACTGCTCATCTACAGGTGTGTAAAGAAGCCAATTGCGGTCCAGATGGCACGTCAATACGTATGCCCACCCTAATCACCCTCCTCCACGCCTACTCACACGCGCAGCCTTCCACCGCCGCCTGCTCCTCTGGGACTGTCCCTCAGAATGCGACTACACGTGTCAGCACATCATAACCACCCAACGCCTCGCGCGCGACCCTCCCTACATGCAACCCATCTACCAATTCCACGGCAAATGGCCCTTCTACCGCTTCATGGGCATGCAAGAGCCGTTTAGCGTCATCTTCTCCCTCTTCAACTACCTCGCGCACGACTGGGGCATGTCGCAGCTCCGCGACAAGATTCCCGCGTCGTACCCGCTGCGGAAATACTACCTGTGGTTTGGCTACGTGGGCCTGGCGAGCTGGACGTTCAGCATGATATTCCATACCAGAGACTTTGGGGTCACGGAGAAGCTGGACTACTTCGCTGCGGGCGCGAATGTTCTGTATGGGCTGTACTATGCGCCCATCAGAGTGTTCCGACTCGACAGGAAGGAGCCGAGGAAACAGAGCTTGCTGAGGCTCTGGACGGGACTGTGCATTACGTTGTATACGTTGCATGTCTTGTACCTCTCGCTCTGGTCCTGGGATTACACGTACAACATGGCTGCCAATGTCGCTGTTGGTATCGTGTCCAACCTGCTTTGGAGCGGCTTCAGTTACGTTCAGTATCAGAAGATTGGGAGGACCTGGGCTGTCTGGCCGGGTCTGTGTGTTGCCTGGATCATCTTGGCTATGAGCCTGGAGCTGTTGGACTTCCCGCCTTGGATGGGCATGGTTGATGCGCACAGCCTGTGGCATCTGGGTACGGTTTTGCCGACCGTTTTGTGGTACAAGTGAGTTGGAATCTCACGTCAACATGGTTTCAAGGCTAACAACTTTACAGCTTCCTCATCAGAGACGCTCAGGAAGATATTGCAGGTACGCGCCTCAAGGATTGATGGACGCGCTCGGTCCCCGACGACGCTACTACCATCCGCCCGCTGTCAACGGCTCCGTCGCTTACCATATTCGTCTCCAGGAAAACTGCCTACCGCTGGTTATGGAGCTGGTGCTTGGAAAGACAAGAGCTAGTGTAACCCTTGACAGTCGCGTCGAGGGTGTTCGAACAGGCCGCAACAATACAAATACCGCGTCCTTCTGTAGGCTCACATTCCTGTGTAGTTCAACGATGGAAGCGATGTTATACGTTGGGACGTCGTTTTCAGAAGGGCAATCTAAGCGACCGCAGACGCTCTGTCGTGAAGCTCGTAAAATCATGATTTAGAATATCCTAAAAACGGTACCCAGCGCAAACGCCCAGGACTAGCTGTCGCAGTGACGGCGATAATGAAAAGCCCCAGTAATGTGACATGAAGTGAACGTCATCAAGCCTGCTCTCTCATCCCACGTCTACTCATCCGGAATGCTTAAAACACCCTGATTCCACTCGCCGCCATTCAATCCTAGATGTATTAGTATGACTGCAGCATTGAATCAAGAAGGAAGCTAAGCTTACGTCGCGTGAAGGCTGTAATATCATCCCCCTTCGTCTGATAAAAGACATACAGACTATCCCACAACGTCTTCTCCCCTTGCTTCTCAGCAAATGCAGTGACGGTAAGATGTGTGCCACCAAGTCCTAGAACCGGCCCCGCAGGATTAGTAATGGCAAACGTTTCGTCTTCGAGGAACGTCGTATTCTCAGCTTGATACGTAACGTTATACCCTTTGATACTTCGATCGGCCATTTGCGCATAGAAGTACGTCGTGTAGCCCAGAGACGTAATGGGATACACGTCCTGTATGGTGCCCATGCTGGCGTTTTGCCACGAGTTAGTGGGGTGCGACTCCGTGGACGTGACATTCTCGTTCACGTCTTTCCACCAGAACTCCACGTCGTTGTTTTGGTTGTTTAGCATGGCGTACGTTGTGGTACCTGTGCCCCAGCTGTAGCAGCCTACGCCGGCGTGGCCATTGAAGCCAGACCATCTTTTAAGAGGTACCCAAGTGTCCTCTTTTTGGCCGCTGTACCAAGCATATTGCTCAAAGGTCGACTCGTCGGTGGCGAACCAGATGTCCTGTTTCGATGGTAATCGTGTCAGTCTATATCGTTGAGATGCATGTACGTTTCGAACTTACCATGCCCTTTTGGTCCGCAAATGGGTCTGTATTGTTGAGACCAGAAGCAGTAGGGAATTTTGAGAAGTCGGAATCTCCATAGAAGTTGCCTTTCCAGCAGGCCTGCAGACCGGTGGTCGGCGAATCGAAGGCTTTAAGATTGAGCTTGCTGAGTGGTCCGGGTTCCCAGATGTCGGTGATGTTAGATTGCGTGAGCTGCTTGACCGTGTTGTTTCTATCAATGTAGAAGATGTGAAACTACTCGTACTTAGCATAGTTACATGATGCAAAGACCGAAATTAGTTAGAAGTCATCCCGAGAGTACTTACATATTGAGTCTCATTGGTGGCGAACGCGACCGCGGATATGGGCGATGCGTCCTTCGCGTCGCTAGCTACAGTTTCAGCTTTGGTTCCGCCGACCCATTGCCTGTCTGTGGTATATTGCATGAACCGGATGTCGCCTGTATGATGCTGGAAGTAAAGCGTGAAGATTCGTCGTTGGCCTTTGTTCCACGACTCTCCAGCTAGAGCGATACCAGTGCCGTCTGGGAGGAAGTAGGCATAAGGTTAGTGTGCATTTCACATTCACCTTACAGATATGTACTCACTGAATACACCCTTTTTCGACAAATATTCGGCGTTGAGAGAACCCCCAATGCATGACTCAGGGTTATCGCGACAGAACGGGTGAACAACGTCCTTATGTCTGCGTTGCGTTAGCGTACGGAGTGCATGAAAAAGTACACTTGTTGAAGCTTACGACTCCTTCTTCCTTAGACCCAAGCCCAGACCGAGTCCCAAACCAAGACCGATGAGTGCAAGGACACCGAGCCCGATGAGGATGAAGAACAGGCGCTTCTTCATGCCGCATCTCCGATCGTCTTTTGGTGGCACTGGAGGGGCAGGTTCATGATAACTCTCATACGAGTCGACATGCTCTTTGAAACCGTAGGGCCGGATGTTTGGAGACGTGATGGTAGTGCCTCCATGCGATGAAGGTGACATTGGTCGGCCTCCATGAGGGTAGTGACTGAACTGGCCGGGCACTCTGCACATTCGTGGATGAAGTCAGTGTGTGTATCACAAGTAGTTAGTACAGGGCACATACACTTGAGGTCCGGAGAAGTCTGGAGTAGGCGTGCCTATTGGGTCGAGTGTGCTATACGGAGTCTCTTTCTCTGTCGAATACCTGCTACAGCGTTAGATTATGGGCCAAGAAGCGGCCGTGCGGTGTGATGATTACATTGGAAAAGACAATGGGAGAGATCAGACTTACCCTTCTTTGTATGCCTCGTAGTTCTGCGGCTGTGGAGACTGGTGGTACTCTTGCTCATATGGTAGTGGGGGTGAGACTGCTGGCGAGGTGTTCGAGTTGGGGTAGGGTTGTGAAGAACCATCGACTGGGTATATCTGATTGTGTTCCTGGAAGTGCGAAGGTGGGCTCCACTGGCTATCGGCATAGCTTCGGGGACTGCTCATGTCCTCGCGGTATTCTTCACGTCGATCCATTTTGCCTGATAGAAGGTACTAGGTATGAAGGGTGGATCGGAATCTTGACGGAACAGCGAGTTCACTAGCTTTGAGCCTGCCCGGGTGGACAAGAGACATGGTCCAAATGCAGCTGCGCCTTTAGGAAATGCAAGAGAAGTGCTGACGGGTAAGGACAGGGTAGCATGCATACCTGAGCGCGCCTGAGTGCTTCTGGGTTGTGGATCATCCGGACTTAGGTTAGGGCATGTCTACCGCACAACAGTAAGCACAACAGTTAGCAATTAGCATGTACCTAGTCATGACAAGGACCAATTGGGGTTCGTGAGGCTTGCTGTCAGCACCATCGCATCCAGAGTTCATTCAACGAACACATCATCATTCGTTGAATGCTAGTTGTGGTTCGATCGCGCGCATAGTGATGGGAATGGAGCCGAGCATTTCATTCTATTCAGCCGCTATACGTCTACCGTAAGCACTCCATAGCCCAAAAGATCCAACAAGAAAAGAGTTGTACAGTATTGCTCTCACGACGGACCTGTATCGCATGATACATCCGCCCATCTGTTTCGATTGCGAGAATATAACCTTCTCGTCGGAGATGTAGCGTTGTGGCTTTCGGTAGAAGCCAAAGTTCAGCCCTGGACTAGGGTCGGGCTGAAAGCAGGACTAATATTAGGTTCGTGATTTGCTGGGTCCAGTCATGCTCCATACCATCTCGCTTGGCCCGGAAAAGCCGAGAATATGTCAGCTGAAGGAGACAAAATCGTTCGTTCGTTATACAGGTGTGGTGGGTCAGACGGCGAGGTTTTCGTCTAGATTGCAGCGTTGTGCGGGAGCGTCCGGTAACCCCGCAAACCAACCTCCAGAACCTGGTGTCGCATTGTAGCAGTGGGTAGAGGAGTATGCACTCAACCGATGTGCAACGCTATGAATCTCACCGAGGAAGCCAATATCCGAGGGCTCACTGACTAATCTGAAGGCTGCTGTGACTGGTTGGGTATGTGTACGTACCCAGATACACAACGTTGCGGCTGTTCGGAGAGTCTGCGCTGCGCGCTCGAACTATATTTCGGGCTGAGCTCATCGTAGTAGGCTTGAGTTCCACGAGGTGTGGTGACTCAATGACAGACCAGGCTCACCGGTTGGTGCACAACATGTGTGATTTGATCGTCTGGTGGAGAGCCGACCTAGCGATGCTGGCCCTGTCAACTTGAATGCTATCAGCAACGTACGACATTATTTGCGCACCAAAACGGATACGATAAGGAATGTGGGGCATGAAAGCAATTACAGAGGAGGAGCGCGGCTCCAGTCGTACGCTGTGTCTCTATCCGGATGTTTTTTTCTGTAGCCTCATTGAGGGCAACATGTATCCGAGCGTGCTTCTGAAAGTCGCCGACGACTATGAAGCCGGAGACTTATTGCAAACCAGTGCAAGTTCAATGGGGTGCTCATGGAGCAATCAGTGGAATATGACCTGTATAAAGTACGCTTCGCAGAGCACACAGCAAGGCGCAGCATCACGTTGTGACGCGAGACCTTTGAGCAATATGTCAGCTCCACACCATGAGAAAGACACAGGGTGAGTTGTACCATCCGCAGACGCTGCAGTACTGCATCAGCTAAAAGCGTGTCAGGCAGGTGTCAGACTGGTTTGAAGAGCGCCCAATAAACAAGGCCAGCCGTCAACAAATTGCTCGTGTAATTGTCGATGGGATAGCTTTTGTAGGCATCGACTGGGCTAAGCCTCCGGGTGGCACAGGAACGGGCAAGGCAGTGCACATGCTGGACTATGCGTGCGGGCCCGGGTTCATGGTAAGTTCTAGCTGTACGAAGTGCATGTGAGACATATACTGATTTCGTACCTCCCTGCAGAGTAAGGTTTGTACACTTGCGTACAATACGCAGGTCCTTCAATGATTGTAAATCAGATATTCGGACCATACGTATCTTCCATACACGCAGTTGATGTATCTCGTACCATGATTGAGAAGTACATCAACAGCATAGACACGTTCGGCCTTGGACGCGAAAATATTGCAGGCACGGTCGGCAACTTGCTGTCAGACCCGATCGAGCCTTCTTCGCTCGACAGCGAAGAGTATAGCAATTTCGACCTCATCACAGTCGGCGCAGCTTTGCACCATTTTCCCTCTGCAAAGGACGCTCTCCGGATCTTAGGGCAGAGGCTGAAGCCCGGAGGTGTCCTTCTCGTTCAGGATCTGTACAGCTACGTTGTAAGCGAAGCTGTGCAAGAGACAGGCAAAGCGAAACATGCGGAACAAAAGGAAAGTGACATGGCATCGATGATGCGGGAGGCTGGGTTGGTCGGTTTCCGCTTTGAGGTGCTGCAGGGAAACTTCGAGATTGAGCTACCAAGCGAGGAGGTGGGCCAGATTCAGTGCTTCATGGCGAGGGCTGCGAGGCCGCTGAGCTAGACCTAGCGATATTTGATACCATAGGCGTTGTTGCGGTAGTTTCGTATGCGAATCCCATACCTAGGTAGTTATATCTTGTCTGGCGGTCAAGTCATTCGTGAGGAAGTAAGAGGTGGTGTGGCGTATGTGTGGCTGAGGGGCTCCGCGACAGGATGATGCGCTAATCTGCACTAGCGCGAACCAAATGAGTCAGGGGGTCATGACGAAACGCCCGCACCGTCCATTCGATAGTGTCGAGCCCAGCCCACGAAAGCTGACCCTTTCACACCCACACGCCCCTACGCCCCTACCCACACTGAAGACGCGATATTACTCGCGATCGACAGTGAAGCCCAGCAGAGAGCCGCCTCACAAGTCATCCATAGCAGACGCGTCTGCCCCGCCTTCTTCTTCACAGCAGCCGCCCTCCCCCACATCCGCACCCGACGCCGGCCCAAGTCGACGGCAACCCCCGCGCGACACATCGCGAAATTTCCACTCCACCCAGCAAAGCGACAGGAATGGATTATATCTGCCCGAGAATCATGGCCTTTTTCCGGTACTCCAATCTCCCCAAGATCGCGAAGTTGGGCGACGACGTCCGCACTGGTCACCGCGTCTGAGCGCGACACTGCCACTCCGAACATCTCTATACACCTATAGCCTCCTGGCGTAGACGTCAGACTTTGAGGGAGCGTTTCAAGCGGAAACGCAGCGACAGTCGCGCTCACAAGTTGTGACTTGTGACAAAGGACGTCCAACCGATCCGAAACAATCTTCGCCTCCACCCTTCACAGCGCGCGCACAAACATCACGACCGTGCTTGCAGCAGTGAACGAACAGAGGCTCGTCCAAAAGACATCTGCGCAACCGAGAGTTTCCCTGGTACCAGCGGTCACATTCCCCGCAAACGAACCGCTCAACCGTGGTAGTGCTGCACCCGTGACTTTCCTCAGGGACCACCTGGACACGCACTACATCTGTCGGACGAGACTGTGAACACTCCTAGCATACACAGCAGCAGCAGTCAATCTCCATCGCCCCGCGACACGTCTACGGCACCACAAGTCCTGCTCTCTACCTGCAGGTCACTGACCTGCCCTTACCACGCAACACACAACGCCACCATGGCTTGCACCAAGATACCCGCGAGCGTCATCATGCCGCCCCGCGAGCTGAAGCAGTACAAGCGATGGCAGTGTCTGCACACGAATACTAGGCCAGCTGAGCAAGGCTACATCCCCACAGCACGCGAATATGAAGACTTCCACCAGTGGTTGAAACGACAAGACTCTGGATACTTCTCAGACCCATTTGACGACATCTCCGGTCACATTACCCACGGACGTTCTGCGGAGACGTCATCCTCCTTCGAATCGCCAGTCGCATCGATATGTCAGCATCCTATGCACCCTGTAGCAGCCGGCCAGCTACAATCACGATGTCCCGTCTGTATCATCGACCTGCACATCAGATACATGAATGTATTGTCAGAGGCTCTCGAAAGCGCAGGCGGTTGCGCGCCATCTTGTACACTCACCAGCTCAGAACACCAACACACCGTTTACAGCGCCTGGTGCAAGGGGAAGATCGGCACACTCAAGGAGCTATCGAGACTTGAGCTCATGGCCGAAGAAGAAGCTTCATGGTCTGCGCAGCATCCAGAGGTCGCGCACGAAGACGTGCGAACCGCAGCGAAGGCCGTGGAGCTATACTGGTCAGAGACTACGGGTTGCTTAGAAAAGCGACCGCGATCGAACAAACAGGCTGCAGTTGTCTTTGCCCCGGACACCGATTTCGAGCCCGGACGACCCGATCCGTACTTCCATAGGCGATCGCCGCGCTACGAGCCTGGGAAACACACAGTTGTTGAGGAAGGGGAACAAGAAGATGATGTCTCAGAGGATTCGGAAGACTACTCTCACGGAAAGATACATCATGTCGGCTCAACAGACGAGTCAAGCAACATTACTTCGCAGTCTGAGGCAGAGGAGTCACAAGCCGTCCTTGACTCAACCTGCGAGATCGAGGAGGATGATGGAGACAGTGACTGGGAAGATGTTGACTCTGACGAGGACAACTCTGACTGCGAAAGCGAATTCAGTGACAGTGGCTGCGCATACTTCGAGATTGAGGAAGAAGCGAGCTTCATCGTCTTTGGCGACGACTGAGCTGATCCACAGCGATCTACCTCATACACTCATCGCTACGCGACCACCCAAAGACAGCCTCACAAGAAGCGATCGCTACGAATCATGTACATATACCCAAGATAGGAGGCAGAGGCACGAAGGACCGTGTCTGGGGAGGAGGATAGAGAGGCAAAGCATACAAACAGGTCTCCAACAAAGGCTGGCAGATGTCGCGCGGTGCGGACGTGAAGAGAAGCAGCGGACTTGATAGCACACATGTGAGTGATCGGAAAGACACTCATCTATCGTCAATGACAAGAATTCATTATTCTGACACGCCTGATCCATCTCTATGACTCTTTTCTCTTCATCCTCAAAGCATCGTTGCAAGCTATTCCCACGCATCCCTTCATCGCGGCGCTGCCCTTCGCGCATCATTGCCAAAAGATACAATGTCCTGGAACTGGCT